GTATTTTACAAACACAGTTTATGATAAAAGTTCTTTCTTTATCCCATTTTTTTTGCAGAACAAATTAATACTACAGTTTAATGCCAGATTTTACATATTGCAAACCCATTTAATCTACAATCAAAAATCAGATTGACTGGACTTGAACCCAATTAATGTGATCTTCAAATGAGCAAAGGCCTGCCAGGATCCTACAGTGAGATAGAATTGTAGAATAGCCCCAAGGAGATTTCAGTCTTATCAAAACAGAACCTTCCTAAAACTTTGGAACCACAGTTCTCCAGCATCCCTATAGTAGCCCAGCTAATATGGTATCATAATCTGGAAGGATATCCAAAATCTGACAAAGAAATTGGACAATTCCCACCTTTTCCGCAGGTATGAATCCCCAGCTGTAAGTGAGAATAGGAAACTTATCATCAATTTCCTCGGGTGAGAGGAAACCTCCCTGGTACACATTTTTGTGTACAAATATTTTCTCTATCACAAATTTCTACCAGTTCAAACTGTATTCATGCTACCCCAAGTAAGGCCACCTAATTTTCTATAGATAAAGTGATGGACTTTTCTCTATTTATCCCTACAAGTCATAGAAACTTCTCAGAATTCCTCAATTTTTAAACTGTCACATCTGAATCTGAACACAGGCTCCGTTCATTTTTGCCATTAGGATAATCTTTATGCAATTGCCCTCCAGCTGGTGGCTGTTTGCATTTGATTGATTAGACAATTGCAGAATCAACCACTAGTTGGTTTAGGCAGGTGTAATTGCAAATGGGCCCAAGGATGATGGGGGGGGGGGAGGAGAATGGCATTGAGATAGCATCAAGATGAAATCATAGTGAATATTGTTGGCATTGCCTAAACAGAGAATTTTGAACACTTCCAGAGAAATATGAATTGATGTTGACTGTATTCCCGCCACCACCCATGGACTACTTTTCTATCCTAGACATTCACTAGCTAAATAAAAGGGGAAAGTAATACTTCCTTTGAGTTGCACTCAAATTCTGGACATATCTGGACATTCTTTTCACATCACAGATGTGATGTGACTTTGCACTGACTTCTGGGAGATTTTCTTGATTCCTCAATTCAGGACCAGTCCTTTCCTACCTAGGTGATGGCCTACTAACCAAGGCTGAACTGTTTTAGTTTTCAAGACTAGGCCAAGATTCTGCAACCTTTCGAGGTTTGGTTGAACAAAATATACTTAAATTATTGAGAAAGAATTCCAGTGTTGTCAAGATGGGAGAATTGGTAGTGACACATTCAAGAATGTAAGAGCATCTCGTAGAGGGTCATGTTCTTCTTGCTGACAATGCCATCGATCCTGATAACTGGATATTGCTTCCAACATCAGAGGCCATAATGTTCTTGATATTGGCTGCTATACATCCTGAGTAGCAGGGAGGTACTGCTCTCCATTTCTCTTATGAACCAGTCAGGCCACTTTTGAGGTAAATACTCCCACACCCCTTTCACATTTGTAAATTAGGAAAGGTACTGTTTGTGGAATTCTAATCCATAAACCTTCAGCATTCAAGTGCATACTTGTTCTTTTTCATCATCCAACTCACTTTCATATCTCCAAAATCTACTATTGCAATATATTGTATTTATAGAGTAATTATACTCTCAAGCATGCTCTTTTGCATCTGTGGCAACATTGCACCACACGGTTGTACGTATGTAGCAGCCACGCCCAGAAAAAGGTTTGTAGAGATTTAAAAAACGGTTAACTTTTAACTTTTGTTTTTGGCATCAGGGCTGCTCTGTGTACCCTCTGCGTACCCTCAGGATTGTTGTACTCTCTTCAGGAAGAGTTGTATTCTCTTTGCAGAGCCTTGAAAAAGTGAAAGCAGCTTTTTTAAAAATTCTACGAAGTGCTTCAGCCCCATCCAGGAACATAGGAAAAGAGTTGGTGGATTGCTTTAAGATGTTGCCTCTCAGTAGCTGTCTTTAGCCCTTTTCTTTTTCATCCTCTTTCTCTATGTGGCTGTGATATGTAAAATGATACCTGTGAAAATATAAAGCTATGGTAATGCCATCTTTATGTTAACCTAAGATAATTTACTGGAATGTTATGTAAGAATTCTCTATTGTTTTGTATAAAGATTACATATTTGGCAGGTTATGCTGACCAGTGTCATGTTAATGACGGAGATTATTGAAAATGGGAATGGGTAAACAGGACAAGGGCACAGATGCTATGCTACGATAACAGGGTTCTTGCGTAGGGAGATATGTAACTTTGATAGATTGTGAACAGGGCAGGAAAGGGGCAGAGACTGTATATTTGAACCTGTATATAAAGCCCAGCCTTCCTGGGAGCCATGTTTTCTGCCTAAAGGTGGAATTCCCTTTTGCAAAAGCTTCATAATAAAGCTCTTATATATTGTTCATGCATCTCCAGATTTCAGTTGTCTGAAATGGTTGATTTTTATCACAGTGGCTCTGTGGGAAGAAAAGGGTGAAGGTCAAATGGCATAAGGCAGTAAAGACAGCTGGGCTGGAATTTCCAGATCATTTGGGGCTTTGTCGACAGGGGGGTGTTTGTGTGGTTGCTTCTCTCCCTTGAATTCTCCCAGGCATTTGTTTTGCACCCCGCTTTGAAGGTTTCTTGGTTGTTCAGTCCATTCAGTTGATTTATACCCCACTATGGAAGCTTCCCAGACATTTTGTGCTTTCTGAGCAAAGTGTCTTTTTGCTGCACTGCTGTGCTAGGATAGGACAGCTACAGCTCCTCTTCCTAGACTCCTCATGCTTGCGCTAGCTGCAACACCCCCATAACTTGCATGTGGCCTGCACCGGGATTTCCAGGGACTCCCTCGCCTACTAAGGCACCCCACATTCCACTTAACAATCATGCCTGGAAAAGCCATGATACAGTTTTAAAGTTGAGTCAGGTCATATGGAGAAAGTGCTTAATGGACTTCAGTGATTTATGACCAAAATTCCAGGCTAAAATTGTGGTAGTAAATCAAGGACTACCTGTATTACCACATTCTTAAATAGAAAAATAAAATAAAAAATAAAATATCAATATCCTTTCATGTCGGCCTTCAGAAGCCAAAATGCCCATAAGACTATAACTTCTTGACTTGTATATGTGTTCTGATCAAAGCTAAGGAATTCACTCTCATTTATCTAAAGGACATTTTTCTTATAATTCTAATTGCCTAGTTCAGGGTAAAATAAAACTTGAACAATCTTGCACTTGTAAAGAACCCCATTAAAAGAAAAAGGGAGTATTTTCCTTAAAAAACAACAGCATAAAGATATCATTGCAATTTGTTAAACTAGATAGATATAAGAAAGACACAAGCATAAATGTGCTTGATTTTTATGAACATTTATACATTTCTAAATTGGCAACTACAGCCTTTTCTTCAGGGGTGGGATTCAAATTTTTTAACAACCGGTTCTGTGGGCGTGGCTTAGGTGGTAGGAGTGGCTTGGTGGTCATGTGACCGGGTGGACATGGCTTGGTGGTCAAGTTATTGGCTGGATGTGGCCAACTCAATATCACTCACATTGAGGCACGCATCTTCTCGCCTGGCCTCTCAAGACTGTGGGAATGCTGCAACAGTCGTAACTGTGAAAATCGGCCATAAGTCACTTTTTTCAGTGCCATTGTAACTTTGAATGGTCACTCCACACAAGCAAAGTACCAGCAAAGCAGGGGGGGAAAACTCCAGAGAAGTCTAGTCCTGCCAAGAATGTAATAAGGGTTAACGGAGAGGCAGTTTCTGTAAGCAACACCAGAATGTTTCCTTCCTGCCTTCCTTACAGGATTAGGCCAGTAATTTCTTCTAACAACCAGTTCTCCCAACTGCTTAGAATGTTAACAACCAGTTGTAGCGAATAGGTGTGAACTGGTAGAATCCCACCCCTGCTTTTCTTCAATTAAAGCTTCTGCCATCCATAAATTCTTTTTTAAAAAATTATCATGCATAATAGGATTTTAAATGTTCCATCCTAAATCTTTAGGTTTCATGCTGGTGGCTATAAGTCTAAAAGAAATACTTTGCAATGCTTTCTATTCTCTTTTATAATTGTGATCTAGCTGAACATTCTAATTAGGGGAAAATTGTAATGCAGCATTGAACATATTGAATTATTTCTTTCTTTTCCATCCTGCCAAATACTTGTTATGCCAACTAGACTTTAAAAAAAGATACTGGACCTGCTTCACTTGCCAGGCATTCTGGAAACTATACAAGAATTTCTGGGAAATGGAAGTACATGCAAAGGTGTTTTTGAGGGCCCAGGATTTTTGTTCCCCATCAAAAGAGCAGGTTAATGGTTATACAGGTTGATGAAATGCACACTGTTTTACCAAACATCATAAAACCTAAAGAATTTCCATATCATCATCATCATCAACAACAACAACAACATCTCTATATGTCATGTATGTAATATGCACACACATAAATCCCCACAGACATTTTTGTCATTTATTGAGGATATAGTTCATCTTTTGTTCCTTAGCAAATATCTATCTATCTATCTATCTATCTATCTATCTATCTATCTATCTATCTATCTATCTATCT